TGGCAGAATGTGAACAATATTTTAAGAAATCTCTGTTTTTCGTGGGAGAAATTGGTGGAAACGATTATACTTACCCTCTTCTAGCATTCAGAAGTTACAATCAAGCCATGGATTTGGTACCATTCGTCATTAACAAAATCATCAACGTCACAAGTGTAAGTTGGGAAACATTTACATTAAATTTAATACTTTTTAAACGTTAATTATACCAAATCTACATTCATTAACTAACGATTTTGTGTTTGGTTTAATTCAAGGCTTTGATCAAGGAAGGTGCAGTGACGTTGGTGGTTCCGGGAAACCTTCCTATCGGTTGTTCTGCGGTTCTATTAGAGCGGTTCAATGATCCACGCGAATTTCTCTATGAACCGAAGAACCAATGCTACAAGCCATTGAACATGTTAGCTAAATCTCACAATGATAAGCTCAAGAAAGGCCTCATGACTCTAAGAAAAAAGTACCCTCATGCCAAGATTATCTATGCTGATTATTATGGTTCTGCCATGCAGTTCTATAACTCACCTTCCAAATATGGTAATTAGATTTCGATATTATATCATAAAACAAAAAAAGATGTGTTCAATGGTTTTTCAAAACATTTTTTTTAAATATTGGTACAATCAATTTTGATTGTTCGTTACGTGGCTGCTTTTTGCATAATAGGTTTTACTGGAAGTGTGCTAAAGGCATGTTGTGGAGGAGGTGATATCACCATCGATGGAAGATACAACGCGAAACCAAGAGTTCAGTGTGGTGAAAAGGGTTCGACAACTTGCGAAAACCCATCAACGTATGCAAATTGGGACGGAATCCACCTAACCGAGGCAGCTTACCGCCACATTGCAAATGGTCTAATCTCCGGCCGTTTCACCAAACCTCCTCTCAATAGCTGTTAAATAACATAAAAAGTTCTAATATTTAACACAAACAAAACATATAATTTCTTACTGAAAACGTATCATTTTGATCATATTCATGTTAAGTAAAGTCATCAGATGGAACTCTTTTTGTAACGAATAAGAATTGATAAATGTAATCCAAATTCTAAATTCATATTTTAAGGATTACATCAAAAGTGTCTATCATTTATCTTTTTACATTGAAATGTTTTTTTTGTGATTGAAGTTTTTGAAGCGAAATTCTTACTAATGTTTTGGAAGCGACGTCGTGTAAAGTTCAATGTCAAAAGCCAAAACCAGACACCTCAACAAAATAAGATCTTGAAGCAACTTGAGAACTAATCCTTTTGATGATTAGAATTTGGTTTCTTCTTCTTTTTGCATTGTAGTTAAAAAATGATAATCAAGATCCATAAATGAGACATCTTGTGAATATAGTCTATGGCCATTTGGTTCATAAATCTGTAGTGAAATGACTATTAAAGATCTACAGCTA